AAAATATTATTAAAATTTAAAGAAGGGGCGAAGGAAACAGCAATTTGGAGGAAAGATAGAGAAAAGTTACATTACTCATAGTAAGTCCCTTACAACTCAATTCTCGAATGACCAAACTTTATCTCTTGGTACCTATCTTCGCAAAAAATTAAGGTCCTTACAACTTATTATGCAAAGCAGTCTTACTTACCAAGAACACCATAAACAGTTCGTACAGGGAGATCTAATTCATCTAGAGCGCTTTGCTTCAGAACAAGATTTTGAAGGACAATGTCACCTGTAATCGTGAAACAATTAACACATTAATAAATTATAAATAAGCATAACCACAGAAGAAACAAAATTATTATAATTAGTAGTTCAGCACAGGTAAATCATAGCGAGAATTGGAATGTGTGATATACAGTGAAAAGAACGAGTGGTAGACTAAAGTTATACCCACAATTAAAATACGGGAATAATGAAACCCACTACAAAGATGCGAATCAAGATTTTGCCAGACAGAATAATAAAGGTAGGTATCAAAAGTGTTTCTTACCTCCCCATATGCCAATCTGAAGTTGAGATCGATCTAAGTTCTCAACATATTCTCCAAGGTACTTGTTGAGAAGATCAGCTACAATAGATTCGAACACCATTCTTCTTACTCAGTGTGGGGTTTTAAACCCCTACTTCTGCTTTAATCCTAACCTGCACTCTGTCAAATGCCTCCTCAGCTGTGCACAACAATCAGCAAGGGTTCTACTCAGCCCCATTTATTACACTGACATGTCGACACAACCACGAGTCGAAACGCACATTGTGCGACTAGAATACGTAAGTTCGCATTAAATTGCGACGTTCATTTGCCGCATGCTCAAAATAATGAAACAAAATCAAACAGAACAACAACAGAAGGTCCTTCAGGTACACGACGTTGCGAACTGCAGAAGAACACTAACGGTCTATCAAGTTATGTCGTCGTCGCAAGCACGAACGCACAGCGCCCTCTTCAATTGCTCTTGGGGGTTTCGAGTACGGTAAACAACAAGAGTCCGCCAGCGTGCTAACTGGACCGAACCAAAAACAAAACAAAACGTAAACACTGTCTGAAATCTGAAAGGGTGTGGGAAATTTGAGCAAAAATATTTAATCTTTTCCTTCCATGCTGTAATTACTTTCGGTCGACATGCAGAACATTAAGATAAGACTTGCCTCGGAGCGAGTGAATACCTCTCTGACTTTCGGAGAGGAGGGAGCTCCGCATTTATATACACCTGGAGAAACCATCACCGACAACCAACGTGTTATGAGGTTAGTTTTGTGTTGTACACATTCACTATTCAAGTTGATGTGACGGTGATGTGACGGGCTTGCAATTTACGAGACAGTCCTCTAAATGAAAATAATTTTGCATCCAAGTTTGAATTTTTGATTTCTTTTTATTTGTAGTGGTCATGGTACTTACATGGATGAAGAAAATAAAGAGGTTCTGAAAGCCTCCGTTGCTGGCACAGTTGAACGTGTCAACCAATTGATTTGTGTTCGTCCCATCAAATGCCGTTATATGGGGGAAATAGGAGATGTTGTTGTCGGAAGAATAACCGAAGTTCAACAGAAGCGCTGGAAAGTTGAAACAAATGCACGCCTTGACTCGGTCCTGTTAATATCATCTGTGAACTTGCCTGGCGGTGAATTGGTAGGAACCTGTTTTTTTAGTTGTGCTGTTAATGGTTTTTCTTGTGTCTAATATCACTCCTAACATTTAATTGTTACAGAGAAGAAGATCTGCTGAGGATGAACAGATGATGCGGAAATATCTACAGGAAGGTGATCTTGTCAGTGCAGAAGTACAGAGCGTCTTTTCAGATGGTTCCCTTTCATTACATACTAGGAGTTTGAAGTATGGAAAGGTAATCATCAAGATAGTCAAGAGTTGATGCAACAATTAAAGGTCAATATTAAACGTTCATCATTATTGTGTTTCAGCTTTCTCAAGGGGTACTTGTAAAAGTACCACCTTCTCTTATCTTGAGGAGGAAAAATCACTTTCACAATTTACTTTGTGGGGCCAGTGTTATTCTTGGTAACAATGGTCTTATTTGGATTTATCCCACTAGTCCAGAGGATGATAGTGGAGTTGGTGGTTTCACCCAGAATTTAGAACAGGTTTGGTTGAAATTTTCTTATATCTGTGTTTTTGCATATCAGTGTGTTATCTAAGGATATTTATCACTCTAATGGTTGTGTTTTAGGTTATTGACAAGGAGGATAGAGAAAGAATAGCACGGTTACGGAATTGTATTTTGTCGATTTCTGCAAGCAAGCTGATGTTATTTGATTCCTCTATTCAATATGCCTTTGAAGAATCATTGAATTACTCTGTGAGTTTCACAAATTCCATTGCAACTAACTGTCATCTAAGGTGTTTTATTGTTATTACCTTTCCTCATACATGGTTTATATATTTACAGATCAAAGAGTTATTAACTCCTGAGGTGATGTTGGATGTTGCTTTTCGCACAAGACATAGGCTCCAAGCTTACAAAGACTCTTAGCCATTTGAAGAAAGTAAAGTTTATTGTACTGGTGTTTGTCATGTGAGTTTGGCATTAAAGATTTCAGTAATGGTCATAGCTAAAATTATATTTAAAAATAAGTATATCACAATACAGAGCACAAGATCCTGGCATGTTGGCAGTGAGGCTTATTCCAGCCAATACATTTGTTATAACTAAACAAGTGAGCAGACTCTTTTTACATAATTTAAAATATATAAAATAATAAATTACAAAATTACACTTACAGTAATTTTGTGTATGGAGCAAGATCAGGCTTGGCTTTAAGAATCTTGTAGAAATCAATCAGCTTCTCTTTGTGCCCTAATTTGAAATCTGCTTTGGACTAGGCTACCCCCATTTTACACAAATGAGTATGTCTAAACAATAACATTCTTGAGGGTACAGAGCAACAAATATCCTTTTACCATCACTGGTATCTCAAATCTTCTGTGCCTGATAATTGATTATAAGATCTTCTTTAAATTAATATTATGTTTATTTTTACACCCAAACTTTTTCAAGCTGGTGAGATTTTTAAAGAGTTTTTAGAAAACAAACAGAGTTTCTCCTTACTGAAACTTCTACTATTCATAAATGTACTCGTTGACTTACTGCCATCAGTACATAACTTAACAAATTATTTAAAGATCATAACTTTTCCGAACATTGTACAGTCAGTCTCCCCACAACACTTGTATGAGCAAATCAGGTGTCAACTTTTGGCGATATTTCTCTAAAAATACTCCCCTAACTATTAACACTTGTTCACTAAAGCTCTATGTGCACAAAGTGCGTGCTGATTCATCACCAAACCTTCAAAATGTCATGGCTTCACCTTTTGGTCAAAAAAAATAAAAATGAAAAATTGATACACTAACTCTTTGAATTTGATGGTAACTTTACATTTGAACTTATTAAGCACTATCAGTCGGTGGACGCTCAGTCTCCATTTTTGCTCCTCGGCGAGATGACGATCTTGAGCAGCCGGACGATGGGCGCCTCGAAGGCCAGCGACACGAGGAAGGCCAGCAAGAAGGACGCCACCATGTTGCCGAAGTACAGCGTCAGCTGCACGGCACGCAATCGTACGCAAGCGTCAGAAACGGCAAAGTTCTCAAGAAACACTTTAATCACTTGGCTTGGTACGTACCACGAGCGCGTTGTGCAGGTGGAGCGGCCCGTCCATCTGGTAGGAGGTGAGCACCTGGATCATGGGGTGCAGCAGGTAGGCGCAGTACGTGAGGCGGCTGAGCGGCTGCAGCGCGCGGAAGGACAGCAGCTGGTTGATGTAGCCGCCGTGGCCCGTGTAGCAGGCGACCACGATCCAGCCGAGGGCCAGCCCCCAGGCGGTGTGGCCCAGCGACACGTAGGCGGCGGACGTGGCCACGCCCAGCTTCTGGTGCAGCAGGCCGTACACGAGCGAGACGAGGCACAGCAGCGACAGCGCCCAGCCCAGCAGCACCACGCTCTGCAGGAACATGACGGGCGTGACAGCAGGTTCAGCGGTACGGACACAGGCAGTTAGGAGTTAGGGGGGAAAGGTAGAGCACGGTGTTCTTACAATGGGCATGCGTATCCTGCCCTTGGTCTTGAACAGCAGCCAGCCGGTGATCATGCCGACGAGGTAGGGCCCGAGCCGTGTCCACGGCTTGTCGTACAGCTCGTCGAACTTGTCGAAGGGCTCTTCTATCCTCGCCCGGTACCCGGACTGCACCGACACGAAGGCCGTCGTCGCCCAGGAGCTCACCATGAGCGCCACCAGCGCGCCTGCCACCAGCCGGAAGTGCCTGCGCAGAG